TCAGCGAATGCATACAAATTGGCTTTCTAAATGGTTTTTAAGGGTATATTCGGTTCACAAAGTGAAAATATCAATGGAATAAATGTAATCGATAAATGAAACAATCTGAGCCGATCACTCTCTACGTATTGGTCTGCACTTTAATCAACTCCCACGCCAAGTCCAACATGATGCTCCATCGCGCACATCTCTCCAAGGCGCTCCACCTGACACCTGTATAAATCAGCAACCGCAGATTATGCCCAAGCCGAAGCAGCTTGAACAGATTCCTCTAGTCTCGAGTCCATCCATACATATTGTATGCAGTAGCCAGTTCTAGCCGCTGTCGGCTGACGGCTGTCCGAGCATGTCCTTGTTGAGAAGGATACCTGGGCAGCAGCAGCGTCCAGGCCGACGTGCAAACTCTCATGCATAACATGATGTAATGTGTGACATGTACGCTCCCTTAATTGGCTGCATTATTTATGAGCCAGGAGCCGGAACTTGGGCCATGGTCCATCCACTGACCAGCAATGACAACCCACAATAAAAGGGTTGACATATGTGTGTGTGTGTGTTCGCGTGTGTGTGTGTGTGTCTGTGTGGGGCGCTCTTCAATCAGAACGTCAAGAGAGTAAATTTGGCTTCTGCCCGGATTTGGTTGCGGGCGAAAACTATTGTATCGCTCGGCTGCATAAAATATTTACGAACTCAATTTAGCATAACGAAATGTTTTTCGTCTTTTTGTTTATTAGCTAACTGACTGAAGGATGTGCATGTGTGCAGGATATGCCGGAGGATATATCGGACTCTAGTCCGGCCGGTTCATTGATTATCGAGTCAGTGGAGTTTTCTTTGAGTTATGTTCGTGCCATGCAGAAACCATTAATTAAATGCCTCACCGATGGCCCCTAATCAGCCAGTGTCATTTGTCTGCGCGTTGCCAATCATTTGTCCCCAACAAAAATCCGGGCAATGCATCAATGTGGTCCGCCCAGGGGAGGCGCATTGAGCACATCTATTGGGAATTCATTTCTGTTAGTTTCATAATGTGAGAGCATATACATACATATGTTATATATATTTGTACATATGTATGTATAATGAGCGTCACTGTGTGAAGCTCTGAATCTGAGCAGACATCCGGTTGACCGTGCAACGCCTATTGCTGGCCAGTGTTGGACATTCTACAGAAACGAAGACAGCTACACTGTACAAAACCTTGGGAGAGTTGTTCGGATTCTAAATTCGATTTAACAAAAAGGAAATACAAATTTAGAAAGTTGGGTTTGGAGTTCTTGTTAGTAAATGGAAAGAATTAAAAGACCTAGAGAAAACTATTTTCGGTATTGAGGTAAGAAATACTCTCTAAAATAATCTTAATTGAAAATTCTGGGAAATGTGGTTGATGAACAGACAGACTGGCAGATGGATGGAGGGGCACTGCTTGATCAACTCTATTTGTAATCCTGATCTGGAATCTATATATAATTTTTGGTCTGCCACGCCTTCTTCCTATTATCCCATTTTCAATAGTTTTGAGAACCGAACTTCATTGACGAATGAATCCATATAAACCGGAATTCTTATGTAGTAGAACCTGGTAATAGCGACTCTGGTCGATTCTGGTTCCCAAAAAAACGTATATAATGGTCCCTTGGGTGTTATCATAATCTGATACTATTGTGTGTGTGTATATATAAACATTAACTGAAAGAGCTAACTTGATCAAATGCCAAATATCTGAAAAGATTTCATTTTTTAGCGTGTATCAAAAGATATGCATGCATACATATATATGCATATGTATATGTATGTATATATACTGCATTGGTCTGTCTGTCTGCCCGTCTGTGTGTGCGTTTGGGAAAACAAGTCGCGGATCGCGTCCTCGGCAAGGGTAAAAATAAATTACTTTAAACGGTTTCGAATAGCAAATTGCAGATTGTCATTTCAAAAGACATATCTTGCCACACATATCAGTGTCAATGGCTAGGGACTGTCGGTTCGCTGGGGCACGGGGAGCGGGTCCACAGCTCTCTGTCTCGCTCTCTCTCTCTCTCTCTCTCTCTGCTGTATGTCTGTGCAAAACTTAAAATGACGAATGACCACAAAACAACAACAGAGAGAGAGAGAGAGAGAGCGACTTGTATAGGGATAAGGGTTCTGAAATCGGGATCAGACAAACTAAAGCCACGGAACGGCAATAATAAAAACTTCAAAACAGCATTTTCGCCAGAATTGAGATTGGGTTGAAATTTTTATAATTGAGTTTGAGTTTGAGTTTGAGAGCTGAGAGCAGATTTCGTATTCCGTTTTCGCATATATTTTCGTTAATCTCTTCTTTTGTCCCAAACGACGGCGACTGCGACGGCGACTGCGACTGCGGCCAGCAATCAGCAATCAGTTAGGAAGTAAGCAAATTAAAACGATCCAAAGTGGAACAAAGTGCGCGTTGCACATAAATATAGAGCTCAACTATTGCAGCAAGCAGAGCGAGAAAGCAAAAAAAAAAAACACCGCTATTGCTGCTGAATTATTGACATCTGTTGCTCAGACGCCAATCGCGGGCAACAGATTACGAGCAGCAGCAGCAGCAGCAGCAACAAGCAACTGGGGGCATGCCACATGCAGCATGCAGCTTCTCGTCATTATGCATGTTCGAACATTGTACACACAGCATGTATATATATGTGTGTGTGTGTGTGTGTGTGTGTGTGTTTGTGTGTGTTTGTCTGTGCACTGTGCACTTTACTCGATATCGTTATGGCCATGTAGAGCCGGCCAATAATAAGTACGAGTGCAGCACGGCCAACAACTCCCAACTCTCAGGTTCAGCTGCAGCTTCAGCTTCAGCTTTGACTGCAGACAAATGCAATTTCGCTGTCCGATCATCGATCCCTTCTGTTTTTATGCTCGCATGTGGTGCACTATACCACCAATATATGTTGGCGGTGGTTCGGTGGGGCAGTTGATGTTGTCGTCGTCGTCGTCGTCCTCGTCGTCAATCGTCGCATCGGCTCCAGGCTGAGGCTGTGGCTCAGTCTGAAGACCACTGGCACTGACGCCCTCTCTCTGCCCCCACCGCGCCTCTACCTCTCCGCCTCAGCTTGGTTTTTGTTTTGGCCTAAGCTGCTGCTGCAACTGCTGCTGCTGCCATAGTATCAAGAGCGTGTAGCAAAATTCGTGCCGTGACCGCCCCTTTCAATTCTGTATTATCAGATTAGCTCTTTTCATAAGCCATTTGTTGTTGTTGTTGCTGTAGCTGGCGTAATGCTATTGACCGCTAGCATTAAGTTACGAGCCAAAGTTAAGCCACTCAGTCAGCTAGTCCAGCCAAGCCAAGCCAGGCCAGCAGCCATATGATGCTCTATGATGTTGTTGATAATAATAACAATAATAATAATAATAATAAAATAAAAATAAAAATAGAAGTCATAACAATACTAATAACAATAATAATGCAGCTGATCATCATCACGACAGGTGTAGCTAAGAGCCAATACTAAATATCATAAGAGCCCAGCTTAGTCCACGATTTGGCCATAATTATGCATAACAGCAGCAGCAGCAGCAGCCGCAGCATCAGCTCAATCCCCGCTTAGTTTAATTGAGCTTGATTTGTAAGCATTTTAACTAGCATTGCAGCTTGTAAGCTTGTAAAAGCATCAAGTGTTTTGTCAACTTAGTCCAACGGCTTTAAGCCGCTTGAGGTTAATATGAGGATAATAAAAACTTTACAAGTATTTTTTGCTTTTCAGGAAAAATCTACTCAGGTGAGCTGAGTATAGCTGGAGATGTATATATCAAATCTTGAGGTTTGCCTGGAACTCAATAGGCATCTGACATTGCCATAATCATACGATAGTCTCTTTGGTATTATTATAACAGATCAAGGATTTGTCTTCAAAATTATAGATCCCTTTTCAAAAAAATCACTTTTGACATAGTTTACTTGATTTGGGATTACCCTATATAATTTTTGTCTCCAGTATAACTAAATAAATTGCTTCGAGAGCATCTACATTTTTTTTGTTTCTTAAGAATTTAAAAAAATTTTTAGCTATACTTATAATATACTATATATTATATACTATAATTATCTTTAGTTAAGAAAACTTGTGTATATTATGAAATATGGGAAACAAACGTGGGTTTTGCCTTTTTAGTTTTTATTTTAATCATAAAATTTATTACTAACTTATGTATAGATATTATTAATTCAATAAACAAATTGTTAAAGTATTTAAGATTACATCTATATAAAACTATTCTCGATTATATCCCATTGCTTAAAGCTATTTCTAATATGTTTGCATTTAAAGTATATCATACATCATATATGTTATATTATCATTTATCATATTTTATATACCGATGTCATCACATTCCGAATAGATATATCACATTATCATATATCATATATCATATTATACCATTTCATATACTATATTCCGAATAGATATATCACAATATCATATATCATATATCATATTATACCATTTCATATATTATATATTATCATATCATATCAAGTCCGAAATTATCTTAAATTAAACGCGTTCTACGCCATGGCAGGTAACCTTTGCTGTTTGTTGTTAGTCACAGGTGAAACAAAAATATCAAAAAATACTTATGACACACACACACACATACTCACACACCCACACTTGTGCACACCCTCTACAGGACATTCAAATTTTCTCTCACATTTATCAACGCCACAAACTTTCAATCGGCTGTCGCAGCCATTTGCTGTTATAGGCTGATGCGTATTGCTCCTGTTGTTGTTGTAGATAATAATTGTGCTGTTGTTGTTGTTGTTGTTGTTGTTGATAATGATGATGTTGGTGCTGGAATTGCTGCTGCTGGTGTTGCTGTTGCTGGTGTTGCTGATGTCGTTGGTAGTAATTGTTGTTGCTGTACCGCTGCTGCTGCTGTTGTTGTTGTTGTTGGTGTTGTTGAGTCTGCGACTGCGACTGCGACTGAGCTTCAGTGTGTGTCTGATGGTAAGGCGCTGATAAGGTACCCTGATGCTGTGTCTGATGCTGTTGCTGGTATCGTTGTGCTGCGGCCGTTGTCATAGCCAATGTGCCCATGCCCATGCCCATGCCCATGCCTACGCCCATGCCAGCTCCAATCGCATGCTGGCCGCTCTGCATCATGATTGGATGCTGGGGCTGTGCTGGCTCTGGCACGATGGGAAAGTAGGCAGCGTGCGGCTTGAAGAGCTGGGCATAGAGCACAGCCGCCGCAGCTGGATTGCCGGTCAGCTGCTGATAAGGATGCGCATAGCCGTGACTCTTGCCATGAGCCGTGGCCTTGCTGCGGCCCAGCAGCGAGTTGTTGCTGCGACGCAAACGGCCCGTTGTCTCGCCAATGGTCAGATCCTCGGCATACGGATCGAGGGCCCAGTAATGGCCACGTCCCGGATCATCGAGGGCGCGCGGCACACGTACAAAGCACGGATTGAGGCTCAGATTGTGGCGTATGGAGTTCTGCCAGACACTCTTGTGATTCTGATAGTAGGGAAAATTATCGGCTATCCACTTGCAGATGCCGCTCAGTGTCAATCGCTTCTCCGGACTCCGCCGTATGGCCATCACAATTAGCGCGCTATACGTAAAGGCGGGCTTCGCATCCGACATGCCATTACTACTACTGCTGCTGCTGCTGGAGCTAGCTGTGGGGGAATTCGTGTTGCCATCCTCAGAGGATGCATCCTCGGAGCTGTTGCAGGAGTCGCTTGGACTGGAACTGGTGTAGTATTTGTGTGGCTCTACCTTGGTTTGTGCCTCGATCTCGACATCGATCTGCTGCCCCGACTCCTCCTCCAGCTGCGTGCTGGAGAGCAACGAGCGTATGGAGAAGCTGGACTGGAACACAGGCGCCGTATCCATGGACATGTTTCAAATGAATAATGCTCTTCCGTTGAGATGTGTCCGCTGTAAATGTTCTGAATTGACTGTGCGGCAGCTTCATCTGGCATGGTCTATTTATTCCAGCGACATTCGTACCGGGAATCGAGAGGGAATGTGCGCAAGCTGCGGGATTACGAATTTATATCCTGCGCCATAGATTAAATTCGATTTGCCCGGCCGCCCTTGGTAATCGTCGCTGGGCCACAACTGCAGATCAATGAAAGCCAAAGCCATCGGATTCATTCATTGATCCCAGCTGAAACACACACACAGCTACTTAGTTGACAAATTCGGAACATTTTCGGGATTAGCCAACAGCTTTTTAAATTGGATTAATTCTACCTGCCCAACACTCCCATTCTCGGCGCCCGCACGGCTCAGTTTCTCTCGGCATAAATATCCTTTCGATCTGTTTGCTTGTCTGCCTGCTCTACCGTTTGTCAAAGATCTATCAAATCAGGAAATATTTGTAAATGTTCGTGATCTATCGCGCTTGACAGAGAGGGAGAGAGAGAGATAGAGAGAGAGCGAGAGGGAGAGAGAGGGAGAGAGAGAGAGAGAGTAATGTAGTTAGACACAAGTATCACATCATTAGTATTTCTATCAAGCTTATTAGTCTAATATGGGTATTATATACATATACATATGTATGTATGTTCAAGTAATATGAATAATATTCAGTACTACATAGTATTGTAATTATAGCCATATGGCATAGTGTACATAGGTTTATAGTAGTAACATTACAATTACTTTCAATTATCATTATCATTGTCATTATTGACCCATAATATGTATATACTTCAATACAATACAGAAAATCAGGAATATTTTTTCTTTTAAGCACTATTATTGTAGCTCTAATGGTTATCATTATTATCATTGTCATTATTCGATTCATAATACTCACATGCATACGAAATATTATATAGATAATATATTTATTCCTCATGTAGAATCATAGTCCAATTGATAATGTCCTACAAAATACATATGTATTTCTAATATTTCTCAATTATTATATTAGTTGTACGCTAACTAATATAATCAATAGTCAAGGTGTCAGCCTCAGTGTAGAACGGCTAATTAAAGCCGTACATATGCAAGTCTTCAGCCAAAGGGGTCATAATTGGGCGTAGTTATAAAGTAATATCTAGGAATGGCGCACTCTGAAACTATGCTCCACGATGCATGTACATATATGAAATAGTTACGATGCGATTCAACGCCTCACTGACTGCAAGGTCCTCGGTAACAAATTAGTTTTGCAGTTGGCAGGAGAAGTACATTATCAGTTTTTGTTGTTGTTGTTTTTTTTTTTTGGCTGCCACATCTGTATGGCGGCGATTGTGCGGTGCAAAACACGGTCCCGGAACCGTAAACAGACCCAAACCGTGTTACACACCCAAAAGCCCAAGCCGAGAGACCGAGACCACATTTCCACCCACTGCCACTGGCAGACCAAAATTTAACAATTGCACGTTAGGGGCTAGACATAGACTGCATTATCCGTGGCATCCAAGGTGTCTATATGAGTGAGCGTATGAGTACTGTATATGCATACATATGTATGTATGCTCGTATGTGTTCACATACATATCTGCATGCATGCATGCACACATACATACGTATGCATGCATGCACATACGAGCAAACTATACTGATATTTACCTGTCTACTTGCCCGGGCAATTCCTTTGTGTACTCTGATAGAATTATGTAATACATTTTGTAGTTGTATATGTCCCAATACACACACATACGCACATAAGCACATACTTTCATAGAGCAAAAAGTGTAGCTACTTGCATATACCCTGTAAAAAGTCTTTGCACACAGTTGATGGCTTGATTCGGGCATTCATATGTCCTATATGGTTGACCTTAACTTGTATAAAGATATGGTTTGTAATTTCAATAAGATGAAGAACTTGTTGAAGTAATATGCGTATAGTTCTCATAGTTAAAAATTAAAACATTTTTGGAATCGAGATTTAAATATATATTATAACACATATAATGATATATGGATATGTATTATGTATGTATATAAGGAAAAGTTTATTGGTTAGAATTTCCTATTATGTTAACTTATTCAATTATAAGTCTTATATAATTAGCAAGCCTAAATTGGAAGGCTATACTTAAGAGGGTCGAAAATAATTTCACTCTTGCAAAAGCCAGAAAATGTGAAAGTGTTTTAGACTTGGGTTTTTATGAATAATATTCATCTGGAAGCAGCAAGAGTAAGGGAATATGGCATAAAAGTGTGCCGGAAGGTCATCAACTTGACCTAAATTATTTTCTTGACTTGACGAAATAATTACTAATGGACTAGAAAAACAATTTTCTCAAGAAGTAGACAAATTTTTTTATTAAAAAATAAACAGATAAAAAAATAAATAAATATTTAACTCACCCGGTATTACATTGTATGAGTTTTTACATATATTTATTCATATACATTATCATATTATACATATATAATATATATTCATTTATTTATATTATCTGTAATAATTTCTTTACTGGGTATCTTTTAGTCGAGCAACTGTGTTGTCTGTACATTGGCTTGTTTGTCTTAAAAGCGTTGCAGCTAGAGCCATAAAATACCAAACACGCTCATCAGTTGTTCTCTGAGTGTATGTGTGTGTGTGCGTATGTGTGTGTGAATGTATCTGTGATTTGGGCACAATAGTGCAGGATTACGTAGCTTCCACAAAGCGGGCCGTAAACAAAAGTTGAATTGCATCTAGGACAACATTATCCATGTAATATTGTCATATCTCCTAGCTGTGTGTATAAGTGTGTGTGTGTGTGTGTGTGTGTGTGAGTTTGCAGGTGTGTGCGTGGGGTAACTGTCGCCTAATGTACATGTGTATAATTGCAATATGTAGGTATGTATGTACATGTGTATGTATGCATGTATATATATATAGAAGCTTTGCACATATGAGTCGGAATAAAGTAGCAAATGAAATGCAGTCAGAAAAACTAAGTACCGTACATATATACACACACATGTGGATGTGTGTGTGTGTGTGCCGCCATATGGTGGCATATGCAATTGTATGTGTGTGCATATGTAAGCTTAATGTAAGGGTATGTAAACGGCAGGGAGGCGGCACTGAACGTGCCGTTGTTACGGATATGGCGTTGGTGTTGCTGTTGTTGTTGTTGTAGTTGTTGTTGCTGGTGTTGTTGTTGTTTTTGCGTGTCCTGCAGGCTTAACGATAACATTGTGGCAATTTTATTTGCCCACAATCTGTTGTTATGCCTCGAGTACGAATACGAATACATATGTATGTATGTATGTAAACTGCAGGCCGAGGCCCTATGCCCAGCGAGATAGCGAGACAGAAAGACAGAGCGACAGAAGCCGTAGAAGGGTATGAGAGAGAGGGAGAGAAAGGGAGAGAAAGACAGCGGGACTTTGCCAAACAGGAAGGAAGAGAACGAATTTCAGCGGAAGGAAACACTAAAATGTTACTTTAAATAAATTGCACTACTCGTACTCGTACACACCGTACACTCTATTATTTTCTCCTAAGGGAGGCCAATGCATTGCACTGGCAATGGCGACGACGACCCAGGGGTGACATGGACAACCACAAGCCCGGAGATACTTTTATACACATATACATATGTATATAGAGACATATATGTTTGTTCGTTTGTGCATATGTGTATTCTATATAGATAGATAGCGCTGGGTAACAACACTACCCACATGTGGGCCCAAGTGCGATTGCGAATTCAACCCATTCGATGCATTTATTTATTTGGACACTGAACGCCCACGCGGAGGCAGCGAAATTTACGAGCCATTTTAATCGATCTAAAATTAAAATCGCATGCATAGCAACCCCCTAAAATGTGCTAACCACAAGTTTGCATTTTATCAATGGCATCCTAATAAGCAGCACCGCCAGACCTCTGACCTATGCCAAAACTGTGCATTTATTTCACATATTTCATTTGAGATTAGAGCTCAATTTTCAGCAATTTTAGTGAATACGTGATATTTGAAGGCCTTTGATAATTATTGGGTTTTGTTTTATATCTGGAGTTCGTCTTATCTAAATATCATATATATGGAATATTTAATATATAGTATATATTATATACTGACAGCAAATATATAGATTTAATATTATATTGAAGAATTTTGCTTGGTAACTACCATATCTATTTAAGAGTTTTGGATAATATATAACAGATCTATGGATAGGTTTCTATGCTCTTTGCATGCAAGCATATCAGAATCACTGTTTATGTTTTGACTAGGGGTTCTTTATTGGTATTTCCTTTGCCATGAATGGTCATAAGATCCGACAAAAATTTGCTATTCATAATAGAATTTAAGTTAGAATTTTCGTTGTCTAGTTATCTTAACTAATCTGTGAGTACTTTGCAGTGGAAAGTGAAGAGAACTGCGAGACACCCTGAGCTCTATGCGTCGCGTCTATTCCAATCATCGTTTATACTTATATATGTAATATGCAAACACACACCCCAGCGCTCTACAACCCACTGCAATCTGAGCTTTGCTCCTGGAAATTAGTTGTAGAAAATCCTAGATGCACCCTCTATACGTACTCTCTATATGACTTGTCTTATTATTATGTTCCTTTAGATTGACAGATGAGACGGACAGACGGATAGGCTGACTGGGTTTGCCACGTACTTTTCCATTGAACATTAATGTATTTCCAAATTGAATGGATTCTTAAGGCACGGTTCTTGGTACGGTCTACTGCAATCCAATCCTTTTCTGGCCACATACAACCTTTAACTAGTCAATGAGCTTCTCGTTCTTCTTCTTCCAGGCCTGTCAAGTTGGTAATTATATATTTCCATCTTAGCTGCCCCGATTCGCACCAAATATAAAAATGCATTGCTTGGTTTTTTTTTTGTTTTTATATTTTTCATGATATTTTATTGCAAACATATATAGCTTAAATATGAGTTGAAGGTATTTGCCTGGTTACTGCTTCAGAACTATCCCACTATATGATACTCTAGGATTCTCGTAAAAGAAGACAACAGAAAAAAAAAACATTTATATAAACTAGGAAGATAGATCATATCGATACAGTAATTGGTAATCAGTTTAGTTTGCCCCATTGAAAGCATTTTGTTCATTATCATCATCATTATCGTTGACTCGTTTTCAATTTGTTATCATACAATACATATTGGGATTCTCCACACAAATCAATCACAAAAAAAAAAAAAAAAAAAAAAAAAAAAAAAAAAACCATTCATAGTTGTAGTAGTAGTCGACACCACCCACCCACACATATCTATGTTAAGTATGCGCTTAGAGGCTATGCTTACATAATCGAGTATCACTAACAATATATATCGTTATTAATTAATATATTAATTTGCTTTATTATTCGCTCTTCTCGTCATTATCATTATAATACGTATTATCATTATTGCTGCAATGATGATGATTATTATTATAATTATTTTTATTATTACTCAATTCTCTACAATTTCATGCTTGTACACAAAACAACAGTTTTTATAAATACAAGTTCCAAAAAAAATGGGGGTTTCATTATTTTATGTATATATATATATGTATGTTTATATATATATATAGAAAAAAAAAATGCTAGTTGATCCATCTAATGTTTTATATTAGCCTAGTAAAAGTATTGTTTATTTATGAGCGCCGATGAGCCAAGCTGCAGTTTGGATTGCGAATACTTCCTTCTCTTCCTTGTTCGATCGATAAGTCGACCTATCGATTAATCGATTATGATTATGAGCAATGCTGTGTAGTCCTAAGTTTTAGCCTGATATTGCATGTATGAGTTGTTGCTGTCCGACAACGATCCTTCAGTGATAAAATGCCAGCGCCCTGGCATAGTACGAGGTACATGGTCATGATATGCGGTCCGGCGACTGCCGCTGGCTCTGTTCGGCCTCCTCGCCGGCCGGCTGCTTGTGCATGTGCGTGTGCGCCAGCGGATGCCCATGATTATTCGCCTGCGCATCGTAGTCGGGCGAACCAGATCCGGAGCCGGAACGCGGACCCAAGCCCATCAGCGAGCCGCTATCGCAGCCGCGTGCGCCAACGGGCGGGGTTATCGAGTGCTGGGAGTTGGAATCGGAAGAGGTGCGACGGCAGAACGGACTGAGGGTGCTGGCGCCCGCCAGCATGTGGTGCGTCAGGGGTGGGAAGCGCGGCAGTCGCAGGCCGGGGAAGAGCAGCGGATTACTGGCATGATTGAGCAGCAGACGTGGATCGGTTGCCGGCATGAAGCCCGGATTCGGATTCGGATTCGGAGTCGCATTGACATTGACATTCGGATCAGCGAATCCAACAGGCACCTGGCCGTGGCCGGGGCCAGCATGGAAACGATGCTGCAGTGCCTCGAAACAGAGCGGCATGCTTAGCCCGTGTGCGCCCGCACAGATGCGTGCCAAAATCTCGGCGTGAATGTTGCTGGGCATGCCACCGGCTGCGGCAACGGGACCGCCTGCGGCTACGCCAGCACTACCGAAGGCCTTGTTGTTGTTGATGTTCATCAGCTCCAGCAGCGGATCGGGCGGCAGCAGCAGATTGTGCTCGTCGCTGGTGGAGAGCAGCTTGCGATGCAAGTTGAGGTTCGAGCTGTGGCGATCGCGGCTGCGCTTCGAGGGGAAGGCCGCATTGCAGCCGTCGATGTTGCACTTGTGATGGAGCTTCAGGTGGACGCTTTGGTAGTGGGTCTTCAGGTGGAAGTGGTTCTGAAAGATGTCACCGCAGGCGGTGCACTTCAATGGATTCTCCTTGTCGATGGGTACCTCTGGTTCGGGCTCTGGCTCCGGTTCGGGCTCAGGCTCTGGTGGTTCTGCTTCCGGTTCTGGTTCGTGCTCGGACTCTCGTACACGCTCCGCTTTTGCCTTGATGCTGCCATTGGAGTCGCGGCTCTTGCTCGTCAGGTTTTCAGTCAATATGATGTTGTTGTTGTTGCTGGTCTTGCTCAGGCACTCCTCGACCGCCGCGCGACCAAAGCTGGGCTCATCGTCGCCCAGCAGCTCCTGCTTGATGCGCATATAACGATTCTCGTCCGCATCGGCGCCATAGCTCAGGGCCAGCTCATCCAACGGCTCCTGCTTGATAATCGAGCCACTGGTCGTGCTCAGCGACAGATCGAGCGTGCCAACTGCCTCGTCTGGGTGGCCGTATGGATCCGACTGTGGCACAGCCTTTGGCTGCTGCACCTCCTCCTCGTCGTCGTCTTCGAGCTCCATCTTAATGTGCGACTTGGCCTCGCTGGTGTAGGGCGTCAGCGGGGGCGAGGGTATCGCCTTGGTGGACTCTGTGGAGCCGGTTAACACCTCGGCTTCTTTGGCTGTTGCGCCCAGCTGGGCGGCCAATGGCGCATCTGTTCCAATTACGGCTGCTGCTGCGGCTGCGGCTGCTGCTGCGGCGGCTGCTGCTGCGGCAGCCACTGCATCCACATCCTCCTCCTTGAGCTTGATCTTCTTAATGGACAGGTCGGCGGCCACATCGTAGTTATCCAGTGAATTGTCGCAAGAGTTCTCATCCGATTGCACGGTGCAGCGCACCGGATTTTGGCTTTTGCGTTTGCGTTTGCTCGCCGTCGTCTGGCCGAGGGCGTGCGAGGAGTCGGTGAGGCTCTGTGAGTCCTCGTGCTGTTCATCAGCCTCCGGCTCAGCTTTGCTCGGACATGGGCTTGGCTGTTGTTGTTCTTTGGTTTGACTGTGACTGTGACTGAGATTGTGACTCTGACTGAGATTGTGAGCGTGACTGTGACCGAGACTGTGACTGAGGCTGTGGCTGGAGATGGCCGAGGTGGAGCGCTCGTCGCTCTCGTTGCCATTGTCCAGCATATAATCGTCGTGGCTGTGCTTGTCCTTGTCGGGAATGCTGTCCAGCTCATCTCCGACCACAACAATGCCATCTCCATCGGGATCATCGTCATCATCGTCGCCATCCCCCTCGCCATCCGCCTCGTCATCATCGTCGTCGTCATCGGGCATGTGGATGCCCACCTCGAGTATCTCATCATCGTCATCCTCCTCGTCGCCCGGCTCGAGCGCCGTCTTGCGGCGCTGTCCCTCGTAGCGGCCGAGCATGCCGTTGCTGTCCATGTAGGAGCGCCGCAGATAGTCCTGGCCATGCTTCAGCTCCATGCCGCCCATCGCATGGTGTCGCAGATCGGGCGGCGGTGTCAGCAGCGGGAAGCTGCCGAACGGGCCCAGGCCCGCCATGATGCCGTTCGGCGCCTGCAGCAGCAGCGGATGCGGCTGAGCGCTGCGTCCGTCATGGGGCGAGATCTTGCGGCGCAAGTGCGGCGAATGCAGCTTCGGATTCGGATTGGCGCTGTGACGATTGCGCGAACGCCGCGAGCTGAACATCATGCTGCAGCCGTCCACCGTGCACTTGTGCATCTCGCGCAGATGCACCGCCGAGAAGTGGATCTTGAGGGCGCCCTTGTCGCAGAAGGTCTTCAGGCAGACATTGCACTGGACGCGCTTCTTGCCGGTCACTGGATTGATGAACTGCGTGCCCAGGTTGGCCGGCATCGTGCCCCATTGGCGCTTGCTGCCCGGCGAGTGGCCCGATTTGCGGCTGGCGCGCATATTCGAGCCGGATCCGGTGCCCGAGCCAGAGCCGGAGGCCAGGGCCAGGCGTGTCAAGCGCTGCGATCCGCTAGTCGGCTGTGTGCCCGACGCACTGGACGAGGAGCAGCTGCTGTTCGACTTGTCGCCGGCCATGGCGGCGGCCAAGTGACGAGATTTGCTCGAGATGCTCGAATCCTCCGGCGAGGTGGGTTGTCCGGCCTTGTGATGATGTGAATGCGAGTGCTGGTGATACTGGCTGTGACTGTGGCCATGGCCGTGGCCGTGACCGTGGCCGTGACTGTGGCCGTGACTGTGACTGTGATTCATCTGTGCGTGATTTGGCGAGTGCGGCCCATGGCCGTGACTAAGTTCTGGGACGCTGCCGGCCAACGACACCTGATTGTTGTTCGATTGCTGCTGCTGTTGTTGTTGTTGTTGCTGCTGCTGCTGCTGCTGTTGCTGCTGCGGCGGTGGCGGCGGTGGGGGTGGCGGTGGTGGCAAGTGATACGGCAACGGATGCCCAGCCATGGCCATGGCGCTAAAGAACTGATTGCTCTGGGCAGCAGCCGCAGCAGCTGCCGCCGCCGCTGCCATCGCAGCGTTCTTCCCGCCCGCTGTGGTCGCCTCATTGATGCGGCGACGCGCCTGCGCCAGCACCGCCGCCTGCTGCTGCAGATGCTGGTGGTGCACGAAATCCGTCGCGTTCGGCGGCCCACCGAACGAGTTGATTTTGCGAAAGTCAAAGGGCTGCATATTCTGCAGATCGCTCAACGGATTCAGATGCGCTGCGCTCATGCTCGTCGCCGGCGGCGATGTGCCGGATCCAGAGCCGGTGCCGCAAATGTTGCGCTCCCGATCGCGCTCTCGTTCACGTTCACGTTCACGTTCCGTTGGCGATGGCGAGGGCTGGTTGCGAAAGTAGCTGGCGGATAGCTTCTGATGCAGCTGCGACTGGAAGTGTAAAAAGTGAGCGTTCATGCACTGCGTCTGGGTCGGTGTCTGTGCATGAGCCTGGGCCTGGGCCTGTGCTTGAGCCTGAGCTTGGGTCTGGGACTGGGACTGGGTCTGCTGGGCAGTTGGGCCAACGGAGCCAGCGCTTAGTGCATGGCGCGTCGGCAGCGGCAGCGGCAACGGCGACGGCGAGCTGCGTCGACTGGGTGTCATAACCATGGAACTGCTGTGGGGACTTCTCACTTGCCGCTCGCTCCCAGCGGAGCGCCTGAGCTGCTCGATGTGCAGTCGATGATCATGGCCGGGCGGCAGCGTATAGCGGTAGCCAAGCAGCAGGCCGGGATGGTCAGATGGAGCGGCCCCAGCAGCAACGGCACCCGGGACACTGTGTGGATCTGCGCTACGGCTGCGGCTGCGGCTGCGATTGCCGATCGCCTGCTGATGCGAATGTGGATGCGGATGTGGGTGTGGATGTGTGTGCGACTGCTGCGAGTGTTGCGTATGATCTTCCTGGCCAATATTCATCAAGAGCGTCTGCCTTACTAGCTACCGTTAATCTATATAGAGTTGTGACAATACGTTAGACTAGACACTGATATAGTATGTTTCCGTTGCAGATCCAGATTGATTCGTTGGTCTTGCTTCCAAAATATTGCAATAATTTTCGGAGCTGCAATGAAAAAAATAAATAATAATAAATAAATAAATTTATTTTAGATCTATTCGACTAAAATGTATTACAATGACTGAAGCCTAGAGCTAAAGCTAGATTCAGTGAGAGTGCGTGAGAGAGAAATAAAGAGCGAGACCTACTGAGTTTGAGAATAGGGGGAGATAAGATGGGAAATATAGAGTAAGGGAAAGCAGAATGAAGAGAGTGAGAGATAGAGAGCAAGAGAGAGAGAGAGAGAGGAGAGCAAGTGAAGGTTACGGAAAGAGAGAGGTAGCGATTGCGAAAAAGAAAAAGAGAGATCAGTAGAGAGAATGAGAGAGAGAGAGGAAAGAAAAGCAGCAAAGCAAATTCTCTGATGCTCTCTCTCTCTTTTTCTCACTGAAGTTTTAAATCTGTCTCTCTTTGTCTCTTTCTCTCTACCTATTGCTCACCCCCTTCATCTCTGCTTAACTCTCTCTAGCTCTCCCTCTCGTTCTCGCTCTCCTTTTTCTTTATTCGCTCATTCACGTATTAAGCTTTAGCTTTATAAATTCATTTAAACATCTAAATTCCCTTAATTATTATTTATCATTTCCCATTCGCAATATATAATTAATTGTCACATGATCTGTAAGTATAATAAATTATATCTTTAGGGCTTATTCGCCTGGCTCGTAAACGTTCGATTCGAATTCGTGTCTTGTCATCGATGTGGTGCACAACTCTCGTGGCCCTCTCCCTGCGCCCCGCCCCTTGGCCCTTCGTTGGGGGCAACACGCACCCGTCGCTGTCACTGTTGCTGTCTCCATGTGAAACATTGTCCACTGCTGATGCTCAAGGAGTTCCACCGAAACGGCCTAACGAAGTGGCCAAAAGACCTCCCAGGCGCACCACAGCCAACTGCCACGTATTTTGCGTGTGTGTGTGTGTGTGTGTGTAAGCGTGTGCGTGTGTGTAAATATGATTATTTAAAAGAAAAATAAGAATAATGATGTGACAAATTCTGAGTGGACACTTCACGTTTTTAAGAGCGATGGTAACGATGCCGCACAGACAGTCACTGGACACACAGAGTGGACATTTGGCTGAACGAGCCGCGCTCTAGAGTTGCCCCGGCGTGACATGACAATGTACACACACACACGCAGAGTGAGAGAGAGAGAGAGAGGGAGAGGAAGAGACAAGCACCAGTGCCAATACGAGAAGAAGACGCTGACGCTCTGACGGTCTTCGTGCTGTCGACCATGGCCACTTCCACTTCAAATTCCCATGTCACATTCTTGTGCGCCGCACAAGAGGCGATCTCCATGTCGATGTCTAGCCAAAGACCGCCATGGCACCAGCCATAGAGCTAGCCAGACCCCCCCTACCAGCCCGTGCCCCAACCCAAGTCACAGCTCGTGATCGCGATCGCGATCGCGATCGCCATCGCCATCGCTATCATTGTGCGACTCGGATACGCAAATTATGATTGGGAACGGCCTCGTCATCGTTCAACATCGTTCCCAAATGGTAAGCAGCATTAGCCGATCATTAAGCAACGAGACGAGCACAAATTGCGCCTAATATCACCTAAATAGGTATATCGAATAGTGGTATGCGTATTGCCAACGAGAGCAACAACACCTTGTCGCAAATGCGTCAACACGAGCAGCGCTGCGACTGAGTCAAATAGCGAACTGAGACAATTTAGTTGTTGTTTTAACAGGTTGCGAATTGCAAGAGATGAAAAACGAAAAATGTTATTGGAGACAACGACTGTATGCTTTATGCTGCTTTAACAGATTGAGAATTGCAAGAGATGAAAAGAGCAAAATGTTATAGGAAATAAAGAAAAAGATATGACAACTGCTGTATGCTGTATGCTGTATGCTGTATGCTGTATGCTGTATGCTGTATGCTGT